AAGGAAGGAAGGAAGGAAGGAAGGAAGGAAGGGAAGGAGGGAAGGAGGGAAGGAGGGAAGGAGGGAAGGAGGGAAGGAGGGAAGGAGGGAAGGAGGGAAGGAGGGAAGGAGGGAAGGAAGAAGGGAGGGAGGGAGGGAGAGAGGGACGGAGGGAGGGAGGGAAGGAAAGAAGGAAGGAAGGAGGGAAGGAAGGAAGGAAGGAAGGAAGGAAGGAAGGAAGGAAGGAAGGAAAAACAATGCCAAATTTTGTCACGTATATTTTTACCATAATCATAATAAAAACAGTTTGGGATGAACCTCAGTAGTAGAGCACCTGGGTTCAACTCCCAGTACCACAAAACAAAGAAAGCAACAATAAAAAAGACACACTGAGCACATCACCATTATGGAGGTTATAACAACTCTTTATTTAGCAAATAGTATGTGCTAGGGCACACCAAGAGTTATGCATTTTACAGTTATCTAATTCTCCTATTGAGGCATTTATTATCATCTCCACCCTAAGATAAGAAAACTCAGGTTAGGAGAATTGCCTGAGGTCATTCTGATAAAAAAAAAAAATAGAGCTGAGGTGGGAATTGAACCTAGGTAAATTTGATTCCCAAGCCCTGGCTCTAGTCTCACAAACTTGAAAAAAAGTTTCAAAATCAAGCAATGAAAAAATATTTTCTTTTTCTTTTCTTTTTTTTTTTTTGGGGGGGGGTGTTGGCTCAGGCTGCCTAAATGTGGGTCTGGTAAGGCATGTGGAGCTGGGGATCAAGCCGTAGTCCTCTGCGCCTGACTGCATCTGCATGAGCAGGCAGAAAAAATATTTTCATTTAATGCAATATTTAGTATTTGAATTTGTATCCTTGACAAAATATGAAGGATTATCTGCCAGCAGGCCAGTAACTAGAAAGGAAGCAGACAGTTCAAGTTATCACCACCAGAGGTCAGCAGATATAGGAACTTGGGTTGTGGCAAAAGGGTAGAAAAATGCTTACTCCGACGATTATTACATAGCATACTTCCGACTAAGCATTTTTCCTATTAAGTATTAAGCTGCAGGACTGTAAAATGTGAAGGGAAGGCATAGGCTGTGTCAAGGGCATGTTAGCATGCAGATGGAAGAAGTCTATGGCTTGTGTTACAATAGAGACAGGAACCCAACTCCACCAGATTCTTCCCCAGTGTAACAAACATATCATTTGCACACCTGTGAGCAGCTGGTGCCCATGAGAACTAGAGTCTAAGTGGACTCATTTCCCGTTTTTCTAGCTTCCTATTCCCTTAATGGCTGCCGGGAAGCCCTTCTCAGAGCGATCTTGTTTAGGCCAAGGATGAGAGTCTGAGTACCATGCTGAGTCTGATGCTGGGTTTTTTGTTTTTTGTTTTTTTTTTCCTGGGGAACCTGTGCAAAAGGAAGAAAGAGTGAATGCTCCAATAGTTATAAACAGCAGCTGGAAGAATGGCTAGAGCTAGAGACAGCTGCCCATCCTTCCTGCAGGGCCAGGCCTGGGTTGGAATGTGGTGCTTCCTTCACCAGCTCTCATATCAGATTAAGTTTAGGGTGGTGGTGATGGGGGAGTTGAAGCTCACATAGCCTTTCTGTCTGGAATGTCTCAGGAGACTGTCTCCTTCAGAGTGGGAGCAGGGTAAGGATGAAACAAAAAGGCAGGGTGGCCTCTCCAAAAGCTTTGAATCACTACTTGTTTAGAAGATGGAAACAACGCAGCCAGGTTGAGAGGAACCACTCTGTAGTTAAGTTTTAAATAGAAATGGTAGGGGGAAAAATAATAATAAATAAATAAATAGAAATGGTAGGGCCAGGGCTGTAGCTCTTTGGCAGAGTGCTCCCCAGAATATACAAGGTCCTGGGTTCAATTCCCCAGCAGTGTAAATGGTAATAATCTGAGGGTTGAAAGGTGTTATGGTTTGTGTATAGGTGTCCCCCCAAAGCCTCCTACAGTCTTGGGGGGCTTCTGGAGTTTGTGATTGATTTTTTTTAATTATTTATTTATTTATTCATTCATTCATTTTGTGTGTGTGGCCAGCTCAGCCCACCAGGGGGCGGGGCTGTCTGGCATGTGGTGCTGGGGGATTGAACCGCGGTCCCTTTGTTTTGCTTAGCTTAGCTTGTTCTAAGTAGGTGCTTTAGACCACTGAGCCATCTCACCAGCCCCTTTGTGATTGATTATTGTGGGCATGGATGCTGCACCTGCCCTGGAGTAGATAATGCCCATTTCAGTGTAAAGAGGAAAGAGAAGCTAGCTGCTTGAGCTGCTGCTACTCTCCTCCCGTGCTCTTGCTCTTTGCTGCCACCATGAAAGGTTGCTCTCTGCCATGTGCCAGGCTGCCTTGGAGCCAGCTGAGTATGGACTGAAACCTCCAGTAACTGTGAGCTAGATAAACCTTTCTTTCCTTCAATTTGGGTGTCAGGTATTTGTCCCAGCAACAAGAGAAGAGTAACCAAGACAAAAGGTTAGGAAGGTTCTGAAAGAGGATCGCAGTTTAGGAGGGAGTAAATGATGCCTGGACTCTACATACATAGCGTCTTTCTTTCTTTTTTCTTCTCTTTTTCTTTTTTCCTTCCTTTTCTTTGTTCCTTCTTTCCTTTCTTTTCTTTTCTTTTTTTTTTTTTGGTGGAACCAGGATTTTGAACTCAGGTCCTTGTCTTCCTTTCTTTTTCACAGTGACTTTCATGGGGGCCCCTAATTCAAGTCAGCAGTGATCCAAGGATTTACCTTTGATCGTACTGACTGCAAAACTAAAATAAACTGCTTACTTGCTTAATTCAGCAAATTCCTATTAGATCCCAGTTTGGAAAAGGTATTTTGTTAGGTGCTGGACCTTCAAAGACAAAAATGATTTTTCTTTTCTTTTTTTATTTTGTGCAGGGTCTCACTACACAGCCCAGACTCATAGTGATCCTCCTGATTTCTGCCTCCTACTGCTGGGATTACAGGTACACACCACTACACCTGGACTCCATCGCTGGCTCAGTGCACCCTGGGGTGGGGCTGGTGCAGCATGCGGAGCCAGGGATCTAATCCTGACCCCTGAGCTTACCTAAGCAAGCACTTAGTCCACTGAGCTATACCGCCGGCCCTAGAAATGATTTTTGCCCTCCAAGATCTTGAAGTTTAGAGAGGCAGCCTAGTGTGGTGGCACAGACCTACAATTTTAGTACTCAGGAGGCTACAGCCTGGGCTAAATAGTGAGTTCAAGGTCACCTGGACAGCCCAGCAAGACCATGTCTAAGATTAGATAAATACAATTTCAGTATCTATTATATATTTTCAATATACATTATATATATTTAATAAGCAGCTAGAAAATGGTGTCATACTAGTGATATGAATAAGAACTATACAAATAGAAAATCGTATGAGCTGGGGCCAGGGAGATGGCTCAGTAGAATAAGTGCTTGCCTGGCAAGCGCAAGGGCCTGAGTTCAATCCCCATTTCCACAAAAAAAAAAAAAAGAAAGGTACCAAGAGGGCTTCAGAGAAAAAGGATATTTAAATGATCTTACAGGTAAGCACGATTTTAAGAGGAGGTTGGTGTTATAAGCAAAGAGAATGGCAGGAAGTTAGGCACAGAGATGCAAAGGTAAGCATGAGTGTTTGGGCAGTGAGGGAGGTGAGGAAGAAATAATATGGAATATGAGAAACAAAATCACCATACAGATAAACTGGGACCAGATTAGAAAAGTTTTCAATTCTAAACCAAAACCTTAGAATTTTTCTAAAAGCAAAGGATTTTAGGCAGGGATTTTGGGGCAGTATAAAAGATGATAGGTGGGTCTTAGGGAGATCAGTTATAAGACCTGAGCAATAACCCTAGTACTGGGAGACAATGGGAATGAAACTAGGTGTGCTCCCAGCCAGGAAAAGAATCCCCACCTCATAAAATGAAGGCACATTGGATCCCAGGTCCTGCATGCCTCACCGGCACTGCGACCGAGTCCAGACATGGAGATGCACGCCTG